GTTGAATCTGACGTGACATGTTCGTACGAACCCTTTGTACGAACAAAAGTAAGAGAAATTTAGGATAAGAATACGAACATGTTCTTGCGTGAGGCCCAATGTTTTTATTTGCCTTAACCACCAGATAAATTGTCTTAAAAATGTCCAAATTGGACAATGTTTTGCATTTTTTGACGTTTTGTTGTCTCCAATTGCAGACATTAATAGAAATGTCGACCCAAATTCGAATGGACTTGATGCTTCAGGAGACTTTTCAAGAAGTTCTGTTGAAGGCTGCACTTGTGTCATCTGTGGGAGTAATAACTACACCTCACCTCAGAAGAAGAACCTGGGTAAGCAAAGGCCTAAGAGTTCTAACACGGGGTTCAATCCACCTGCTGCTGAATTAAATGTGACGAGAGAAACCAGAATCCTTGAGACGCCCAAAGAGATCAATGCTAATGAGGACCTTCCTAAAGTAATGCTCTGTGATGTAGCCAAAAAATGTGATCCACGCTGTCACAAGTGTGGCTACAGGTTGCCAGACACTCTCAAGTCCAAAGTTGTGCATTGCTTCAAACAGGATATGAAAGCTGGACTTCAGATTTGGTCCCGTTGTTCAGGGCATAACAAGCTTAAAAATCAAAAACGCCGCTCTAATGTTCTGAACAATGAGAGCATCAGTCAAACTGTGACTGGACACCAAAAACACCCTAAAGTCACAGACTCTGAGGCCTCACAACCTTCAGGTCCTGCTGAGCTTTTCCATGGCGGCTGGACAGAGGAAGACTCTGAGACTAGTTCAGCTGCTGTAGGAGATCATCAGACTGACAATAGGACTAATATGTTTGTAGAGGAGGACACGCTTCACAGAGACAAAAGAATAAAGCTTGGGGATAGTGTTGGGTCCACCAGTACTGCCGGTTCAGCTTTGGAAGAAAACTGTAGCATCACAAACTCTTGTGATCCAGAAGGAGAATTGGTAGAAGCTGAAACCTCATCAGATGCGTCCTCTGAGAATCATGAAACAGGTGACCCAGAGTCATTTACCTGCCAGAGAGTAAAGCCCTACGTGAGGAAAATATTGTGTGCTCGCACGTACATGCCTTGGCCTTTTTTGAAACCAGCATGCTCAGCTCAGGGTTTTACCACAGCGTCCACATCGGGACCGGTTTGTTCCTCTGCAACAGAGAAATCTGCAACAAATAATCAAAATCAGGCATCCACAAAACAAGGAATCACCCTCCAAGATCCATCCTCAGAGGAGCAAAATGATAATGGGAACAGCTTTAATAATTGGTCTTCATACTCGTATAAAGCAAACACGGACGTGTCCACGCGATCTGAAACTTTTCTACCCAGTCCTCAGTTGGATTCAGTTTTATGCCCCATATCAGGTTTACCTAAAAATGCGCCTGCTGTTGATCCAGTGCCCACTTCACCTTTTCCAATAAATTCAACTGAAATAGACACATGTACCCCTTCCCCTTCAGCACTTGGCCTGAGTGACTGGGAGACCACCGAAACGTTTTCTCCTCTGTCAGATGTGTCCACACACAGTGCTTCAAGCAGCACGTCAGGAATTCCACGCTCTCTCCCGCCCTCGATAGGCCCACTGGAGAAGGTCAGGGAGCTGCAAACTGTGGACAAACTGCTGCTCTGTAAAGACACCAAGCTAACTGCCACTACTTCTTTATCCCCCATGTCTTCATCCAACTCCTCTCATTCATACATCTCCCCCTCCCTCCTCCATCAGTACGAACTCAGGAAGGAGGTGTGTTACACAGATAGGAGTCCACCCAAACTGAAACCATACTTCACACGTCCTGTTAAAGACGCGTGTTCAGTGCTGTGTGGCCTTAATAATGATCATTGTGTGGAGGTGGGCTCTTGTGAGTTTAGGCTTCCACCTGTCCTCTCTCCGATCACCTCACCACAGTGGAGGAGGAGTCTCTCATGCCAGAGCTCAACTGCATCAGAAGACGAGGAGGTGTTTGACACAGATGCTAACAGAGCAGCAAAATCCCCTGAACCTCACGTAGTGCAAATGGTTAATAGCAGCAATGAAAACACAGAGGATTTCCTCCAACGCATCCCAGAAGAAATGGAGGTAATTTCATCAAGTTTCAGAGCTCTGACAGATGAAACCAAAGGAAAACCTCAGTCTTCTTCAAATGATGATAAAAATGTGAGCGAACAAAAGGAAGAGGGCAGCCTCCATTATTCTGATCATGAAGATAAAATTGAAGAGGGCAGCAAAAGTTCAGAACAATGTTCCCCGGAGCCTAAAATGAAGACAACCCATGGCTCAGGTGTTCAGACTGAGCCCTGCTCTTCCCTCAGCAGTAACGAAGAGGACTGTGAGTCCTTCAGGGATGAGGAGGAGCAGCATTCTGCTGGAGAGGAAGGGTGTTTTTCCAAACAAACATTCAGGGAAATCCAGGGAACTGAACCAGATGGTGACTGTCAGTTGAACGTTTTGGATGAGCTCACGGCTTACGAACAGGACATCCTGCTTGTGGAAGTCACGCAGGACGATCCGGAGCTGTTTCAAAACCTGCCAAAGCAGAGCCTGCTGAAATTGGGTCCAGTCAGACGAGCCGTGGATCCCATAATAAACACCTTTAAAAAAGTCACGTTCTCTCCAAGGATTGATGGATCATCTTCAGAGCTCGAGCAAAAGTAAGGACCTGTTTTTTTTTTTTTGTGGATCGCATTTCAATGACAGATAAGTTGTGCAACACGTAACATATAAAAGGTCTATGTTTATGTTTCAGAATAACACCTGTTCTGAGACATTTTGCTGATGTCAGTCCAGATATCTCAGGTGAGGACAGTACTTTGAGGTTGCTGCACTAATAAATAGCAAAGCCACAATGAAAAACCTATTTATATTTTTGGTTCAGCCTTCAAAGCGGATTTGTAATTACACACGGACAAAATGGTTGGTACTCCTCTGTTAGTGACCGGAAAGCCCACAATGATCACTGAAATAACTTGAAACTGATAAAAGTAATAATAAATAAAATTTAGCAATGGCAGTCACACATTGCTTCTGAGTTATAGTTCAACAGAATTATTTAAAAATAAAACAGGCCCAAACAGAAACAGTATTTGTAACTTCATTTTTTGTTGTGCAATCACTGCAATCAAATGGTTTCTGTATTTGTCAGTGAGACTTTTGCACCTGTCCTCGGGTAATTTAGCCCATCTCTCTCAGGTTTGAGGGGTGCCTTCTCCAGATGTTCAACAGGATTTAGATCAGGACTCTTCAGAACAGTCCAGTGTTTCTTTCTGATCCATTATCGGGTGTTTTTAGCCGTGTGTTTTGGGTCATTGTCCTATTGGAAGACCCATGTCTGCCATTCTCCCAGAAGCTTTATGGCTTGTCAGCATGTATTTTGGCAACTCCCAGTCTCACTTTTTATGGTTTGGTTTCCTCAGCTGTCTTCATTAAATCCATTTAGATTTAAACAGTGACCCATAAGGCAATCTGACACTGGTGTACTTTGACTTTTGGAGATCCCTTTAATCTCTTTAGAAGTTTTTCTGGGCTCTTTTGTTATCATTCGTATTATCTGTCTCTTTGATTTGTTATCAATATTCCTCCTGCAGCCACATCCAGGGAGGTTGGCTACAGTCCTATAGAGCAGGGGTTCTTAACCTTTTTGACCTCGAGGTCCAATTTGTTGAACATAAAGTGACACGAGGCCCAGTCACACATTACCAATGTATGGATCAAAATGATAATTATTCTAAATCTTGGTTTAATGTGTATTGTATTTGCATTATAACTAAATTAAATACACTTACAGTTTAAAAGTAAAACTCCTGTCAAATAATCACAAGACATGATTATTACAAACATTTTTTTATATTGTAACTTGCCCATAACAATTATTTGAACAAATACGATTAGTCAACAGACCACTCAGTCTTATCAACACAAAAAATATATATTTTTAACATAAATATCAAAAATAGACAATTCAATAAATAAAATTGTGGTCATAAAAATACTTTCAAAGTGTTTAATGTTTACCAAACACAAATGTATTTACTGTTTGTGCTAAGTTTAGTTTCACATAATGAAATACTTACACTGTTAAAGACACAGTATGTAGGATTTGTTGTTTTCAGCGACATCTAGTGGTTGAGTGGTTGAATCATCCTCCCTGGTCCTCCCCCCACCCCCACCCCCGTTTCCAAACGCAAAGGAGATGCTACGGTGTCTCTCAGGTGTCAAAAACCTTTTAATAATTCCAACAGCGATGTCTACCAGCAGCTTCAGGGTAGTGATGTTTCAAGTGGTAAGGTTATGAGCTTTAATAAGTAAAATTATCCCAGCTACAATGACAGACAACAAATATTACATTTATAGTCAGAGGTGGAAATTAAAAATTTTCCCCAACAGCCACAGTGGCTGGTAGAAAACGTTTTGTACCGGCCACTCAAACTTTTTGCTGGGGCCGCAACGATTAATCGATTAATCGACGACTAATCGATTATTAAAATAATCCATGACTAATTTAATAATCGATTAATCTTTTTTTTCTTTGTTTTTCTCTCCAAACTGCTTTGACACCTTCCACTGCCACATCTGCCTTTCTGTCCTTGACACACATGCACAGTAGTGGTAACTGGGGTAGGCCGTGGACGTCACAAGACATTATACAGACAGGCTCTGGTATYATGGCTACCYRRCAACRGAGYTCAAAGTGTGGGATCATTTTAAGAAAATGAAAGAGAAACCTGTRYAATATCTGCAGAGCAGAACTTGCCTTCCACAGCAATTATTTTTAGTTAGCATATAGCTAAAATCTAACCATGGTTATAAAATAGCAGCTGCATTCTGACACGATAGGTGTAATAAATCAATAATTGAATATGTTTTATATTCAATTAACGTATCATCCGATTAGTCGACTAATCGAAAAAAATAATCGGTGATTAATCAATTATAAAAATAATCCTTTGTGGCAGCCCTACTTTTTAACCATCTACTATTTTTTGTTTTTGTTTCTGTAACACGGTGGCATTTAGACAATTCATGGTCCTTGTGGCCTAATTATATTGCACATATATATAAAATTAAATTGTTTGTGCTACAGTCAGATAATGGCACTCAAAATCTATTAGTGTGTTACAGTATTCAAGCCAGCCTATTTGACAAAATTAAAATGATGGACTTTTGAAGTCTCTACTTCTCTTACTTACTTGCTTTTTGCTGGTATGTAGGTGGAATACCAATTATTTTAGGTGGGCTACTTGGCTGGGGAAAAAAAAAAGCTTTTTAACCTTAATAATATAGGAGAAATTTTCAAGGTGAAAACAAAACTAAATTACTTGAGGTAAATTTATCTCCGTCATTTAATAAAAGCCTTTGAATTTTATCACGTAGTTTTTGTTCTACAGGCTACTAGTATGAATATGTGTCTTCTGTTCTAAGTGAGATTTCAATAACAGATGGAAATCCCTCTGATGATCCATTGTCTCAGAGTGGATCATTTCTATTTTTACTTTTGAAAAAGTTCATGTCACAAGGTTCATTTTGTTACTTAGTTTGCCTGGGTTTTTGTTTTGTTCTGCATCCAAAAATAGCCTGCAGAGAAAAGTTAAGGGAAAAGAAGGAGCAGATTATTTATTTATTTACTTATTTATTGGAGCTGACAGCTGATCTTCAGACGTTTCCTAGAGATTAAAAAACAGTGTTTCCTTAAGTTTCTATTGGTCAATCAAAGTGATCATGGTTTTTGAGTTAAAATATTTAACAACTAATGTGATGTTTTTTTTAACTAACATTTATGTAATGTTCATGCATCTACAGTTAGAAACAGTGTTTTTAATCAGCTGATTTCAGGTTTTTGCCCTTGATGCCAGCCTACAGTTAAGCTTTTCTGTTTGCTGACGGATGAAACTAAATTGACTGCCCTGTTAAATTCACTATTGTCCGTTTTTTTCCTTTTCCATTTATTGTAAAAATAAACTGCAACTTTCGGTTTTTCCTTTGGGTCCTCTTGAGAAAGGGTTTTGTTTCCGTTACTCCAGATATGTAATGCCACATTAAAGTTTGTGTTTTTATTTTCTCCTTCTGATAATCGGACGTTTACCTGTATAAGGCGCGCATGGGGGTGGGGGGTGGGGCAGGGCAGGCGGACCACAGATGACAGTGCGCAGGAAAGGAGGGGAGAACTTATTTCTAGCTGCTGAGCGGGTTTGATGTTATTTAATGTTTATTAACGTCCTACAGGCTCTGAAATGCAAAACAGAAACGAAACTGAGGTTTTGACAAAAGTCAGTAGCGCGATTTGAACGCATTTTATTTATTTTTAGTTCATTACACACCCGCCACAGTGGCGGGTGCGTTGTTCAGATCTACACGCCACTTCATAATTTTACCTGCATCTGGCCACTGGCGGGTGCCAATTTCCACCCCGTTTATAGTTTTACAACTAAAACCGTTTTTGACGCCGCCACCGCAGTTTGTCCTTCATGAGCCTTCGTAGACAAGATGGCGGTGCAAGATGGCGGCTGCCTGTAGTGGTGACCCGCGATCATGGAGATATAAACAGCTTTTTCTAAGGTAAAAATAATAAAACAAGGTCTTTGTCTGCAATGATTAGACATGTTTTTTTTATTATTGTCATTAGTGATTATCTCAATTTTGGCTAAAAGAATTGACAAAATCCTACACACTGTGCCTTTAAATTGCTGGTGCCCAACGTCTGCCACTAAGTGTTAATGTTTCAAATAAAGGAAAAAACTGTAAAAATAAAATTGATAAATTGCAAATGAAAATAAAACCTTTTTAAACTTTTGCATGGTAGAACCAGAAGCTGCTCTTCATATTAGTGGCAAACAGTAACAACAGCTTTTTGACAAGTTTAAAGTTTCTTTAAAATACATTCAAAATATTTAAAAATAAACTACAAAAATTAATTTAAAGTGCAAATTAAAATATATCTGCAACTGTATTTGATAATCTTTGAACTTTTATAATATTGCATGGTAGAACCAGCAGCTGTTATTCATATTAGTGACAAACAATAACGGTAACAACAGCTTTTTGACAGATTCAAAAATGACGTTCAAAATGTTTAAAAATAAAATACAAAAACTAATGTGATAAATTGCAAATCAAAATATGTCCCTGTGATGGACTTGCAACCTGTCCAGGGTGTACCCCGCCCGTCGCACCGTGACTGCTGGATATGGGCACCAGTGACCCATGCGACCCTGAAAGGAAGAAACGTGTACATAAAATGGATGGATGGAAATTAAAATAAATCTGCAACTGTATTTGATAATGTTTTGAACTTTTAAAATATTGCATGGTGGAAACAGAAGCTGCACTTCATATTATTGACAAACTTCGGCCTTTTTTGATTGGTTGCCTTCATTTTTGCTTCTACTTTTCATTTAAAATAGGTTTCCACTCTCAGCTGGTATCTAAGATTCTTCTTCATATTAAAAATTTGTTAAACATCTGAGTGGTGCACTACCGCTACAAGTGGTGAGAAAGTGTATTGCACCTTATTCAAAACCAGTGCAGCCCTCTGTGGCCCAAAGTTAAAACTGATGTTCTTTTGAGGCCCTCAAGGTCGTGCTCCCATGGGTTAAGAATCTCTGCTATAGATCCTAAATTTCTGAATAATTTGTGCAGCTGTAGTCACAGGAACATCAAGCTGCTTGGAGATGGTCTTATAACCTTTACCTTTAACATACGTCTATAACTTTCTAATTTTCTGCAACAACTCCTCTCCTTCACTTCCTCTGGTCCATGTTGAGTGTGGTACACACCATGGCCCTTTCCCAGTCAGTGGCTACACACTCGCCCTACTCCCTACACACTACACTCGCTGTGAAGCACCCTTGCTGCTGAACTGAGTCCCCTTGATGGCGCTGTATACACCCTCTGTTTTTTGAGATGGGCTGTCCTCACACCACCGGAACAGGAAGCTGTTGTTACCATGGTAACAGTCCAACCTCTGGCAGTGACTGAATGCTGGAGAACAAACACTTTTTTTAATAAGACCAAAGAAAATATTTAATTAGGCCCACATGTTAGAGAGTTTTCAGATATGACTAAATTTGTAACAAACACAGTGTGATAACTTGTCAAAATAATTGCACTTTTAACATTTTTAAAATAATTTATTTTTTCTTTATTTTTTCAATGTTTCCTTTCTTCTTTTTTAAATGTGGACCATGGTTCTCTGTCTTTAATAAAGTTTTAATTGAATTAAACATGATTTATGTGAAATCGTATTTGTTGGTGAGGTGTTTACTTAGTAAATATGTGTAAAAACATATGCGGAACTTATATTTATACGTCCCATGCTCCGTGCCGACCACTATTTGGTGCTGCACCTGCTGCTCAAGTCTGCGCTGGATGCTGACTCGCTGTGGAGGACTTAATAAGCCACTCGCCCTCGTACCTAATTGGTTTCAGATGGGACTTAATATGGCCAACCCTCCGCAGGAACACACAAACTGAGTGAGTAGGGAGTAGGGCGAGGGTGTAGCCACTGATTGGGAAAGGGCCTAATGTCACCAAACAGCACAGTAACCACTTGTCAAATAGGCAGGCTGATTATAACCTGAAGACACCTGGAATGCTAATGAGAGGACTTGCTTTAGTTTAACTTCGTCATTATCGTCAAATTACTTTCAGTGAAATGAAAGGTACCATCATTTTTGTCCAGGCCTGTTTCATTAGTTTCGTTTTTTTAAATAATTCTGCTGAACCACAATTCAAAAGCAAAGTGTGATTTTTATTGGTTAATTTTCAGTAATTTATTATTATTTGTGGGCTTTTCTGTCAAACAGTAGGGTACCAACGATTTGTTCACTTGGGTTGGTCTTTACTTGTGGAGAATAATGTTTGAGTGAATGAGCAATTATATACACTTTCATTTATTTAAATTTGACACATTTAATCTCTAAGATGATTTTTTCTTTATGTTACAGAGGAGAGTGAGAGCAGGCCGTGGAGACCTCGATCTAGCACCACCCTTACCAAAATACAAAACACATTCCCTGCCGCATACAAGCAAACCAGACACGTGGTAATGTAATGGGATGTACACCACCCCTGCATTGTTTCACATAGATGACACCCACCTCCTCCTGCCCCATTCATTTTCCAGTAGCAGTTTTTAAGACATTTTATTACAAGGCATCCGACACGCCAGTGGCAATAATGACCCTGCGGCTCTAGAATAACAAAGCATTAATGGGGTTTCTCTTGCATAAATGCTCTCTGTGCACTCCAAATGCAAGGCACAGAACAAAAACATAATGCATCGTGTTATTATGAACAAATAACATCTTTTATGTATAATTTAAGTTCAGTTAACATGGACATTTCAAAATAAAACCCATGTAGGGTTTGACAAAAATGTACGTCAAGTTGAAAATATGTGATGCACTGCTTAAGATTAGTGGTATATAGTCTTGATGGAAGATTACAGGATGATAGAAGTTGTGATGTTGGAGGTTGAAGGTCAATTCTGTTCTGTTTTCAAACAGGATCACTCTGATGCCAACAACAGTCAGGTAGATGGTGGTCTGGAAAGGTACTTGTTTGCACAAGTCGCACAGTGAATTCAGTTTTGAGTGAAGTTTGTTCCGACTGAAGTAATTTTGTAATCCTGTTCGGTTACAGGGCTCATCCCATCCTGAACATGAACTCCCACATCTCCCCACAGACGTCTTCAGCCTCTGGTGAGTAAAAAAAAAAAAAAAARRAAAAASAGKGGGGRAKTTTAAACTCTTTGACTTTGATTTTGTTTGCTTTTATGGCTCTTTTTTTAAGCTTTGGTTTGGTTGTCTCGTAGAAACGTTAAACTGTTTGTGCTCGTCACATAGGACTGTGGCTCTCAAACTCCGCAAAAGTGGCAGACGGGCACCAGAAAATTAACAGTGTAAGTATTTCATCAGGGTATCCGCGGGTCCTTAAAAAGTATTAAAAAGTCTTAAATTTACATATCTAAAATTAAGGCCTTAAAACGTCTTAAATTTGTTCAAAAGTGTGCAAGTTGGTCTTAAATTTTGTCGGGCAGAAGCGATTAAAGTTCTCCGTCTCCCCCGGCCAACTCTGCAGCGCATTTCCTGTTGAGAAAAGAAAAAAACATACTTGTGTTGTGCTGGATTAACTGATGCTGCTTTCAACCAATAAAAAGAACCAGAGTCACAGTTTTAGCCAATCAGAGCAGAGCAGGGCGGGTCCTGCTGTCTTGAGCGGATACTGCAGGTGAGGTAAACGAGTTGCTCGGCCTCTGACTTTTCCAATGACTTTTTTTTTCTTCATTTTTTGACCTGCTACCAGAACCACCTGCCCCGCATGAAGGTAAAGTTATGTAATAAATTATTAAATGTCTAAGCATTAAACGTATGTGTTCGAGTGTAAGCAGTTCGCTGCAGCCGAGGAGATGCTGAGCTATTATACTGTTACTTCAGCCCGTCGTCCAAAACCGAGCCCTGACCTGCGTGGGTCTTTTTTATCTAAGGTCTAACTTTGTGTTAAACACTGGGTTAAATGTTGTTGTGTTCAGAGCGTCGTAGTTATTTTAAAGACGTGCAGCTTGCACGCACTGAGGAGCTACCTGAGTACTCCTACCCATCCAGAACCAAGCCCTGACCTTTTGTATCTAAAGTCCAATTGTGTTAAAGGTTTATGTGTTCAGAGCGTTGTTGATATAAAAAGCGCACCGGGCCAAATACACATGAACATTTTTTACGTTACTGTGATACGCAAATGTGCAACTTGACCAAACTCAGGTTAGACAGAGATTGCACGTCACAGCGGGAGCGCGCTCATCCTGTGCGTCTCATGGTGAGAGAGAAGTTGTAGCTGCTGCATTAGTTATTAAACATTTATTAACACCAAAAGATGAATATTTATAGACTCTAGGTCACAGCAAAGACATTTGCCTAAGTTTAAATTTAATTTTCCCTCAAACTCGTGAAAAACAAGTTAATTCTACAAAATGTTTTAACAACAATGAAGTGTTTTGTCCATTTGGATGTGCTAAACTTTTATTATCTTTAGAACTATACTACTAACTGAACTGGGATAAATATAATTCATAAATGATCAAATATGAAAAATAAATAATATGACTATGATTGCCACTAGAAATATAAAACCTTTGAACATAATAGGTCACAAGTTGCCTTCTAGAAGGATGTCAAATCATCAATCAGTGTGATTACATGAGCAATAAGCCTATAAATATTCCCTTTGAATGAAATATTGATTTTAGGGGAGAAATCTGTGAAACTCAAAGAATAAACAAATTAATTAAAAAATTAAAAAGAACTTCCCGGTAATATATTCTTTATAAAGGAACTTTATTTGCTATTATTTTTCACATGTATCAGAGTATCTCAATTCAAAACACTGATATTACATAAAAATAAACAGAAAGTTGTTAAAACCTCTCTTCCTTCAGACATTTGTTGGATAGTGATGGTGCAGGTTAAAGTTCATGTTTATTGACAGCTGGCTGGATGACTTCTGTTTATATAAAAACAAAACTGGAGGTTAAAACTCAAGTTTCATGCCATGAATGTATTTAGTAGATGTATTTTGTGTTGGTTGTTTCCAACCAAATAACTGCACTTGTAAAATACAGCTAATTTAACCAGAGAGCTGAATATCTTTTATATTCAATGCTTTTTATTGAGTGACACATGTGCTTGGTTGTAATACAGTAGAATCCCCGAACCATCACTTATATTTTCTGTCTTAAATTTAATTCAAGATGGTATTAAAGTCGTAAAAAGTCTTAAATTTGACTTGCTAAAACCTGCAGATACCCTGTTCATTATGTGAAACTAAACTTAGCACAAGAAGTACCGGTAAATACATTTGTGTTTGGTAGATAGTTTTTTTGCTGTAATAATGTGTTTTGGCAATACATCTTATGCTATTGGAAGCCTGTTCATTTTCCTTTTAAATGGTGCCACATTTGTAAGGAACATGGGAAGGGTGAAGGGCATCAAGGCATCAGAGAAAGATCCCATGCCGGTGCTACATGGTGGTTTGGTGGGTGCAAACGCCTATCGCCTCTTAAGAACAGCATGATGTTTTTATCCCGGCCCACTGAACAGCCATTTAAGCCAACAAGCCAACAGGAAATGACAGCTATGTACACTTTCAGGGTGGACAGAGACTGTCCCCGATCAAATAATACTTTGCAGGAATGTCAGTATATCAGAGACTGAATACTACCGGGTCCAACCCTTTAATGTAGGACCACCAGATTGCAAAGACCACACACCTGTTAACAGGGTTCCTGCAGATCCTTAAAAAGGTATTGATTTCATCAATCTAAAAATAAGGCCTTAATTAGTCTTAAAATGTATAAAATCAATCTTTCAGAGGTCTTAAAAATGTTAACACATTGTAAGTTGGATGATTGTAATTCATCTCAAATATTAAAACAATTAGTTACATTTAATTATTTTTGAAAATAGTTTACTGAATGCCTCTCGCAGCTAGTTGTTTTAGTTGTTTTGTGTTAACATCAATGGGTAAAATTGATGCTTTTGTGAAGTTGGTCTTAAATTTTATTTCAAGTGACAATAAAGAGGTCTTAAAGTCTTAAATTTAACTTGACTCAAGCTGCAGGAACCCTGCAGTGAGCGTGGACGGCAACCATACATTAGCCATTGTACGTCCTACTTCCCCAGCATATTTGGAGGAAGTGGAACTGGGCCTTGTAGGGGCCAAACCCAGAGAGGGAGCCAATGTGGGTCAGGGTGAAAAACTCCAGCCCAGATGATTGCTCCTGGAGGGGAGACGCATTGGCAAGCTGGGGCAGAGCTTCTGCAGCAAAGGAAACAAGTCCTCGCTAATCAGAAGAGGGCCACTGAGAGAACTCTCAGAGCTGGGAGAACTAGACTGAAAGGTGGGAAAACGTAAAGAAGGTTCTGGGGCCAGTCGTGTGGTAGTTCATCACAGCTGTGAAGGCAGCCCTAGGGGCACCACGCTGGATGCAGACGTTAGCATTAGGCCTGTCACGATAACAAATTTTGCTGGGCGATTAATTGTCTCAAAATTTATTGCGATAAGCGATAATATTGCCT